CGACGGCGACGATGAAGTGGTCGATTCTTCCGTGGTCGGGGCCGCAGTCGACGGCGACGATGAAGTGGTCGATTCTTCCGTGGTCGGGGCCGCAGACGACGGCGACGTTGAAGCGGTCGATCCTTCAGTGGTCGGGGTCGTAATTTGACATTCTGGTTTTATAAAAACAATGGTAAACAATATGGTATATAATATTACAAATTATTTAAAGCATATTTAAATCCCATACCTGCAAGAAAAATAGCAGTTGCCATTATTACTAAACCGATGATTACAGAAAGGAAGCCGTGTCTGTTCATGTTTGGTGTGTCGTGACGTATGTGAAATTAACAACTGATGAAAGAGATCGTGTTATACGTTGTTTATCATTGCTGTTATCAGCAAGTAAATCGCGGAAAAATGTGTTATCGAAGATATTTTCTATCTTCATCGTACTTTAAGTATATTGTCACTCCGTACAGAATTTTACAATATGTACGTTTTATTGTGATTTTGATTTTGATCTTTTCAGTTTGCAGACTTTAAATATGGTAAACAATATACGTGTTTCTACAAGACGATACCACAGAACGATCATATCGTGAAAGGGGAGAATAGAATGGGTGTTTGTTAGAGCATGAAAGTATTCGCTTCTCACGCTTAAGTCACAGAATAATAATGATGCTCACAGATGCTTGCATATTTCCGTCGTTTTTGACTGCTCGGTCGTTGTTGACGAATTCCGATTTATTTCGTTGAATAGCGATTTTTCTCTCATATTTCTTGCATTTTTTCACCCGTTACTTATAACTTTTTAAAAGCGGGAAAAATAGCGCCAAGTACACGCCAAACAAACATATCTTTGTCTACAAAACTTGTTTTACAAAAGAAGTGATATCAAAAGTAGCACCAAGTACACTTGTGTACATTTTCCTTAAAAACATTATATCAAATAATATGTATTAATTAAAAACATATAAAAACTAAAAAGTATAAAATCATTGTATCAATAGTTAGACTTTGCTGTTTGTGAAAAGTTGAAACATAAAAAATAATTAAGGCGAAAATCTTTGCGTGGCTGCACCTCAGGTAGTGAATAAAATGTGTTTATCGTAAACAAGTTTTTCGAGATATCACGCATTTTGTAGAATATATATTTTCAAATTTATCTTTGGTAATTATTTAGAAAGCGGACTTCCTCACCGATTTCAATGAGCTTGAAATATGTTGGTAAGGACGCTATTCTGAACAACTTTCTTTTATACATATTACCGCCGATCGGCTTTTTTGTTTTTGAGTTATAAACAAAAGAAGGTTTATTACGATTATTACAATTATTTCTGAAAGTAATCACGTTATGGGAAAAGTTGTCAAACAAGAAATGTAGGAAATTCGATTTTCTATAAAAAAGGTTATGATTTTCATTTATCTAGCTCTAACCGTTTTTATGTTAGAACGTTGAATCCACTGCATTTACGTACATATTACAATGCGTAACGTGATACGTGATAACCTCGATCAAACTTGAGTTGAAAAATTATGTTTTTTTTATGTTCGCGTCGTAAGCGTGTAGGCAGGAGGGCTGCGTTCCCCTGCACCCCTTTAAAAAAATTAAGCTAACCTTAATCTAAATTCTTCTTTCTGCATTCCCTCTCGCAAAATTTCCACAATGGTTAATTTATGTTACTACATATCTATTTTACTAATATCAATAGAAATGAGTAAAACTGTTTTGGTAATTTTGACATGAAGCGAATGTAATCGGAAGTCGTATTTGTTAATTAAATTCTTCGTTTTTTCTTAACGGGGGGGAGCAGGAGTGAGGAACAAAGCCTCTGCGGGGAGCGTAGCCCCCCTTACCTACACGTGTTATACAAAAAACATATTAACTTAAGAAATCGATACAATGTTGGAAAATTAGTATTCAATTATAAAACTTCTTTTGTTGGTAACTCGAATACTAAAGCCGACCGGCGGTAACATGTATAGGGAAAAGTTGTTCAAAATAACGTCCTTAACAACATATTTCACGCTCATTAAAATCGGTGAGGAAGTCCGCTTTCTAAATAATTACCTTATCTTTTTTTCTATTCTCTCTTTTTTCTCAATTTTTAACAATAGTAAAATATTTATTTTTTTATTCTTTCCAAGAAAAGAATATAAAAATTTGTAGCACCTTTAGGCCAGTGGTTTTCTAATTTGCATATCATCAGTTCTGTGCCAGATCGATTTTCCATCTCTACACATACTTGTATAAAGACGCTTTTCAATACACAGACCATTCTTAAATATAGCATTCATTATTTTATACAGCTGTCCATCTACTGATACTTTAGTCGTTGGTACAGCACGTAGATTAAATTTGTTTGCTAGTATTACTTTCCTATCTTCTGGTAAAAATAATAGAAAATGAATGATAAGTATTTCTTTTGTTAATGTTAATTCTCTTTTAAATATCTCATTCCATTCCCTTTACAAGTTTTACATAAAGTGGTATATAATTCACACTAATGAGGGAAGATAAGATTTAATAAATCGTTTAGATTATAACTTTTTCTTTAAATTAATACCAGGAAATCAAAATATTATTTGGTACAACTGTATTTATATACTCACAATTTTTACGTCACAATTTTACGTATAGTGGAAGTTACTTGATGCTCGACTACATTTTTTAGAAAATCTAAGTTTGCGGAAAGAACCAAAAGAACTTCAAGCATCACGTTTTAAATATTATATATTCAATATTATAAAGAATATACTACATATTTCATACTAATTTCTTATATTCTTCAAATGATCACTCTCGTTGCGTTCTCTTTTTCGTTCTGTCTTTCTGTCTCTGTCTCTCTTTCACTCTCTCTCGCACTCTCTCTCACTCTTTTTCCAACTCTTTCTCACTCTTTCTCAGTGGATATTAAGACCATGGCGATGGGAGTAACGAAAGTAAAAAAAGGAAGCAAGGGAAATGTAATAATGGGATGTGAAACTGGAGAGGAAGTAAAAAAATTGAAGGAGACAGTTCAAGCTAAACTAGGAGAAAATTATAAAGTAGTGAAATCACCACAATCAAAGCCGAAATTAAAAATTATTAATGCAGGGATAGAAGAGATAAATTTAAATAATGATGAACTTATATCTACGATAAAAAGGCAGAATAAAATGGATGCAATGTATATGCGAATAGTGAAAAAAATAATTAAAGAAAAGAAAAATAATAACAACCAGTCTAAAAACGAGAAAGTAAAGAGAGATCAATAATATTAGAAATAGATGATAAAACACACAAGTTGATTTTGAAGAAAATTCAACTAAATATAGGATAAAAGAAATGTCCTGTATTTAACCATGTTAATGTTAAAAGATATTTTAAATGCTGGGGTTATTATCACATAGCTAAAAACTGTGTGAGAGACGAGACATGTCACAAATGTGCAGAAAATCACAACTCGATTGACTGCTTAGCGACAAAGAAGAAGTGTGTAAATTGTATGTTCAAAATTCGAACATACAACCTGAAAATAAATGACGAGCACGACGCTCTCAGTATGGAGTGTCCAACTTTTAAGAGAGCATTACAAGAAGAGAAGAGGAGAGTTGGCTGGAAAGACACTAAATAGCAACAGGAAGATGTGGAGCTAATGCTATACACAAATGCGCAAAGTTTGACGCATAAAGATGAGATACAGCATCAGATTTTGAAGAAAATAAATCCTGCATTCTTAGCACTGTCGGAAACAGATTGACTGATGAGATTGAAGATAGTGAAGTGAGCGTTCAGGGTTACAATATAGTTAGGTGTAATACTGCGAATAGAAATACAGAAGGAGTTGTTTTATATATAAGGGACGATGTTAAATATGAAATAGTATTAGCAAAAACGTTAAAATTGAACTGTTGATGTGTAGCAGTAGAAGTAAAAGAAAAATTGTATAAAGGAGTGATTATGGTAGTATATCACTCACCAAGCGCGTCGCATTGTGACTTTGGCTGCGTTCCGAGTTACGCATATGCGCGTATTTATCTATACTATACGTAACGTGTACTATAGATACATGCGTGCATATGCGTAACTCGGAACGCAGCCTTTATGAGATTTCTAGAAGATATAGAGGAGTTAACAATAAAAGAAAAATGTATAGTAATTGGTGACTTTAATATCTTTTACTTAAGATCTTATGATAGATTCCTTTTATGCGAAGAAGCTGCAAACGACAATGCTGAGCTTAGGTATGAAACAATACGTTAATAAACCGACAAGAATCACGAAAGACAGTCAGACAATCATTGATTTAATCTTCGCTAATAATGATAGTTTAGAAGTACAGATAATTTACGAACCTAAAATTACGGATCATGGCATCAAGTTAAATTTGGTGCTAGGAGAAGTGAAAATAACTATAGAGAATTTAGCGCTAGGAGCTTTAAGGAATTTGATGTAAATGAATTTACCAGACTAGTGGAAAATAAATTGCATAAAAGACAAGATATAAACGTCAGTATGAAAGCGACAAAGCTTGTTGACAGTAGAAGTGTTAAATATGGTGGCGCCGATAAGAAAGTTTAGAATTCCAAAGGTGTGGGAAGGGAAAAAGTGGTTCTCAGATGAAATAAGAGAAGCAGCGGATAGAAGAGATAAAACATACAAGAAAGCGGTTCATGAAACTAGTGAGCAAACTTGATTGCAATTTAAAACTGAAAGGAATACGGTTGTAAAATTAATTAGAGATAAAAAAAAAGAGAGTATTATGAAAATATGATAGATCTCAACAAAGAAAATTCTACAACTATGTGGAAAACCTTGAAAGAAATAATTAAAGATGAGCCAGTATGAACAAAGATAGTAGAAAGTATAGATTCTGAAATCTTAGATGATGAGCCGAATGTAGCCGATAAATTTAATTTATACTACATAAAAAGTATTAATAATATAGTACAATCTATAAATGTAGGTAGGTCCAGCGGCACAAATAAAAAAATTATTTATGTTATCGAGGACAAAGGAATTATGGAAAATTTCGAGATGATAGGGCTAGACGAGTTAGAGAAAATTGTTATGGGATTACCAAAAAAGAAAGATACGGATGAGGGGATAACTAGTGATGTATTAAAAGCAGCTTTTTGCATAATAAAAAAGAGGAGTTTGTAGATATAATAAATAGTTCTTTGAGAGTTGGTTGCTGTCCGGAAGGATGGAAAACTTCGACGGTAGTGCCGATACCAAAAATAGATAAAGCGAAAAAAGCAAGTGAATATAGACCTATTAATATATTACCAATAAAATACATATATATATATATATATATATATATATATATATA